GAGGGAAAAGGCTCAGATCGGTTCACTATCTTGCCCCAAGTCACACAGCAGCAGATAGAACCAGAAAACTTCCTCAGGTCTGGGGGCCCCTGTTATTTCCATAGCACCCTGTCCCCCAAGGAGTAGGAACACAGGCAGGAAAGACCATGGGTTCTTCTCCCCCCGTGCCCACTGCGGTTTGGGGGTGCCGGCCACTGCGGGATCTTGCCCAGCTGCTGACGCACCGTGTGAACCCTGGGCAGGGATCCCTGTGCTCTGAGCACTTAGTAAAAAAGGCACACACAAAAATAATAATAAATAGAACAGCCCAGCTAAGCTAAAATGCTCTCCTCGGAGGGAAAGGGAAATAAAATTTGATGAACCTCTGCATAATGTTCAAGTTATGAATGTATAAAGTGATATTCTGCACATATGCTGGGAAGCATTCATCTTGGGGCCTGAGTGGGGAGGACCGGCGGAACTGGGGCACCAGCAAACAGCAGCTTCTTGCTAATGGGGTACAGAGTGGCCCTATCTCCTGCCTCAGCAAAATGAGCTTTACCTTCGCCCCAGGAAGTGGGCTACCCACATCCGGGGACAACCTACTGCGGTGGCAACGGGCAGCTTTGGACCCAGGCGGGTGATGTACCTGCTAGGACTGGATGCTCTTCTGTGCTGCACCGCACCAGGCTTGCCACCTTCCCCAGCCCTGGGTGAGGTCACCTGGCCTCCCCGGCCCCAGCTGGCCAGCCCAGGGCTAAACACCTGTCCCGGGCTGGGCAATCACATCTTCTCTCCTGGGATTTGGCTTGGGGCACTGGGATGCTGAGGCAGCTGGGTGACAGTGGTTCAGAGCTGAAAGGGCATGGGGGAGCTAGGGCTGGGCCTCTAAAGAGGAGAATCCAGGCAATGACTAAAACACATTTAACGAGCACCTATCAGGTGCTTGAAATAGAGTGGGGAACAGGACAGCGAAGGCCTTCAATCACAGAGCTCTGTTTACAGGCTGACAACCAAATGTACAAAATATATTAGGCTGGGGTCAGGTGGTGGCCCAGCGGTCTAACCCAGCACACTTGGGGAGGTTGACTCACGTGGGGAAGTTCTGGGTTCCTGTCCAGAGACCTTCCAGGCACTGTGTGCCCATGACCCAGGCTGGCCAAGACCTGGAGGTGGATTATGACCTTGAGATTCTGCTGGGTGTGTGTGTGTGGGGAGGGGGGTGCTGTTTCTTTGCCTCTCTCTCTGTCTTCTCTATCTCTCTCTCCCTTATGAAAGAAAGAAATAAAAACCATAAACTCCTTCAATAGCATAACTACTTTTAAAATAAGGTCAGGTTGTGTCAGGTACCAGTAGAAATTAGTAATGGGATAGAGTGACTAGGACAGGGAGCATGGAGCGGGGTGTAAATTGAGACCCAGTGACCAGGCAAGGCCACACCTGAGCGAGCCAACAGGTGAGCATTCCAGGAGGGGCACAGCAGGTGGTGGGAATGAGCTGGGTGTGTTTGAGGATAGAAAAAGAGGCCCACAGGGCAGGGGGAAAATACATCTGCTAGAAGGGTCTGCAACAGCCCAGCGGTCCGTGTGTGGCCCCTCCAAGGCCCACCTTGCTAATCCACTGCTCGCCACCTCCACAGGCTCCATGGAGGCTCCTTTCCCTCTCGTGCCCCTCGGAGGCTGCCAGCCCTGCAGCTGAGTCCCTTCTGCTTCTGGCCACCGGGAAGCATTACTGCTGGCCTGACTCCTCAGAACCTGTGACAAGTGAGTTTATTCCGGAGGTGGTCCCAGGACACACAGGGACGGGAGAGAGGGAGGAAGACAGGGAGGGAAGGTGCTAACACAGGGAGTGTTGATAGGCAGGTTCCCGCTGAGCCACCGGGGTGCCATTGGTGCTCCACTGGGGAGCAGTTCTGGTAGCTGACCCCTCGCTTTGGATAGAGCTAAGAGGCTAGTAGAGACTGAGATGAATACAGAAGAAGCACAGAACTCACTCCCAGGAGGAAGGGCCCAGAAATCCTCGGTCAGGCTGGAGATGTTTGTTGGAAGACGTCTGGAGTTCTGCCTAGGCTATCTCCAGTTTCTGAAATCCTGACATCCATCCAGTCATCCACCTGCCTGCTGTCCTTCCACTCATCTTTTCCTCTCTCTTCCTCCTCCAACCATTAATTGATCCACCTAGTCACCTATCCCTCCATTCGCCTGCTTGTCCACTCATCCATCCATCCATCCATCCATCCATCCATCCATCCACCTCTCCATCCACTCATATATCTAGCAGCCAGTGACCCACCCATCCAACTAGTCATCCACTCCTCCATCCACCTCTCCATCCACTCCTCCATCCACCTATGGATCCATCCAGCTACCCATCTACTCATTCACCCATCTATCCATTCCCTAATTTACCTATCCATCCATCCATCCATCCACCATTTATTGTCACCTCCTCTGTTCCTAGCAGGGCTCTGGAGACTCTGGTGAACAGATCTGGTCCCTGACCTGGAGAGCAATCCTCCTCCAGCAGCCATCACCAGTCCCACTGCTGGGTCCGCTTTTCACTCAGTTCTGTGACAGAGCCCAAGAAGGAAACCTCAGTTCAACCCTCTGTATCAAGCTTCTAAGAAACAAGAGGCTGAGTAGCAAACATTTAGCCATGGCTCCCTCTCCATTCCTCACACTCTGATCACATGAGCGCAAGGCAACCTAATGCCTAATAAAACATTAAATGTCCCAGAAATTCTGACACCAGAGGGTCCAAACTGCCTCACCTGGCCTGCCCCTTCAGCCCCACAGCCCCCCAGAACAACTCCATCACTCCAGTTTTTGACTGGGGCCCTGTGGCCACAGGGGCCAGGCTTTGTACTTCAGATTCCCAGTGGTGGCCAGAGGTGACAGATGTGCACTGACCTCTCCCGGAAGTACTTGATGGCCTCAGGGTCTATGAAGGTCGGCTCCTCCCGGTAGCCCTGCTCAAAGACCTTGCGCTTGTGCCGGAACTCAATGACCGTCTTGGTGTAGGAGTTGAGCGTGGTCACAGAGGCTGCCATGCAGCAGGTAAAGGAGCCCCACGCCAGGCTGCCAAGAGATCAGGAGAGAGATGCCAGGTGAGGGCAGGTGGGGCAGGCAATCCCCCACCCGCCAAACATTCATTCATCTCCACATGGCTGCCTCTTCTGGGCCAGCCCCAGAGCAGGTGCTCCCAGAAAGGACAAGACTGGATCCCTGCCCCAGTCCCAGCCTAGTCTGGGAGATGGATTGCATATTGCAATGCGGACATGACAACGTTTGCTACTGGGAGACCAGAAAAGAACCAGTCCCTCTGCCCAAAGGAGCTGGCATCAGGGAAGGTCACCCAGGAGACAGCAATACTGATGCTGGGTCTGGTAGGACAAGTGAGAGTTGGCAGGGGAAAGAGCATTCCAGGAGAAGGAACAGGATGAACAAAGGCCTGAGGCATGGACAATAGGGAGCGAGCACGAACTGTCAGAGCTTTGGGAAGCTGGAATGAGGATGCATGAGGAGATTTCTTGGAGTTAATGATGGAGAAGGAGATGGGAGCCAGCTCATCTTTCATGAGAGTTAAATTACCTTTGAGCACGTATGGCCCTGGGCTAGATGCTTAACCTCCCTGCCTCATATTCTTCCTGTTCATTTTAATGCTTACAACAACAGCACTCTCTGGCAGGGTTGTTGCAAGGATGGAAGCAGATGGTCCTTTAAAAGCATCTTAGAATAATGTCTGGCACATAGTAGGCACTCGAGAAAGGCTTTCTATCATTACTGTCATCACTATTATTCCTATTCTTCCCACCCACTTCTCCATGACCTAGATGGCAAGCTGCCCCTCTGAGGGATGAGGTCATAATGATCTGCTTGGCACTCTGCTCCACACCTTTCTCTGCACAGCGGGGACTGTAGGCTGCCCTCACCGATGTATGTGCTGAGGCCAGCCCCAGCTGGGGATCTGCCCTATACACATCTGGAAAAGAGGGGATGGTAGGGTTGGGGAGGAGGGGAGGGCAGGGGAGGGGAGGCTGGCCAGGCTCCAGTTCTAGTAATGGCCTCCTGCCCGATTCCTCAGACCAAGGCTGTATTCATGTTTAGTACCAGGAGTGGGGTACCTGCCTGGCTTTCTCCAAGTCAAGACCTTGGTTTTGCTATCCCCTGCACTGCTGGAAAGCTGTAGGCTCCCCATGGCTGGCACCCACAGCTGGTCTCATCATTCTGCATTGCCTATGGTCGGTGCAGCCCACCTCCTGCACGTACTGCTTTTCTCTTGTCAACTGCAGAGCCCCAAAAAGAAAGCAAGGGGAAATATGAACAGTCAGCCTTTCTCCAAAGGGACCCTCAAGAATCAACTGTTTCCCTTAATGCCAAACCCACTGACAGATTCCCCTGAGACTTTCATGATAAGGAGATTATTTAGATCAGGAGTCCTGAGGGTCTGTATTAGATGGTTTCGGGGTATCAGCCTGGTCCCTCTAGGAACTTCCCTGTTCACTAAAGGGTCCAGTTGTGACCCATTCCATGTCCACAGATGATGAGAAAAGGGCCAAACATCTGACCACAGCTGGTTAGGTCTGATACTCCCTCCTGAGCAAGAAGGCTGGAGACTCAAGGTTGATCTGGGGCATCTCTATGTACCAGCACGAAGCAAATTCCAAACCCAATGGTGGGGAATGAAGAAGTGGGCTTTTTCTGGGGTCCCATGATCGTGTTGGTTTCACCTGGCCAGCATCCATTTTTCCCTCTGGTAATAGCACCTAGATTCTGTTATGGAATCACCCCTCCCCTCCTCTCAGGCCATGTGTGGGGCTGGGCAACCCTCAACCTAGCCTAGGGGTGAGCACGTGACTTAGGTTTGCCCAATGAGAGCACCGCTTCCCTCTGGCACAGTAATTGGGTCAGGATGGACACACGGCCCAATTCACAATTGTAGGACTTGGTGAGAGCCGTTGGGCAACAGTGTCATTGTTCCTCTGCACTGCTAACCTGGTGGGATGTGCGCCAGGAGCTGCTGGGGACTGACAGCGAGGCCACGAAAAGGAGCTTGAGTGCTGAGCTGAAGTCCTTATCCCTGGACCTTTCAATCGTAGAAATCCAGATTCCCTCTTTAAAACTTTCTTCCCCTTAAGCCAGTTTGAATTGGGTTTCTGTCCTTGACAACCAACATTCTTATGCAATGACGCTCTATAAATGTCCTTCTTTTGCATAAGTTAGTTTTGCAGTGAATTTCTAGTTTTTAGAGCCAGGGATCATAACCGATGACCACTTCTGACTCAAGCCTGATGGCTCTGCCAGGGGACGGAGCTAAACATTCTCAAATAAAAAGCCTAAGCAAAACAAAACACCCTGCAAGAGCAGTGGGGTCCAGTGACTGAGTAGGAGTGCGAGGCTGGGGAGTGGGAGGTGGGGCCGTGTCCTGAGGTGGAGATGGGGTTGCTAAAGCCCAAGGGCCCCAGAATCAGATGCTGTAAGGGTGAAACTGAGTCAGACAGGCATGCACTAGACAGGCAAAAGGCAGACTGCCCTGGAAGCAGTGCCCACAGCCCTGTCTTTCCATCGGCTTTATACGCAAGACCCTTTGTTCTAACAAAACGTTGCCTCGCACTCGTTCCCTTGGGCTCGGGCTCTCCATGGCTATTTTTCTAGTCCTGAAAAACCCAAAGCTCGGGGCCAGTAAGTGGTGTGGTGGTTAAGGACACTGGACTACCACATGGCCGACCGGTTCAAGTCCCAGACCTGGCGGTTTGCTTTCTCACTTTCCCTCTCCTTCTCTCTCTATCCATCTCTGGTCAAATTAAAATAAATAAATACATTAAAAAACAGAAACAAGGGAACCAGCAGTTAGCGTAATGGCTATGTCGCTGGACTCCCACATAGTCGACTGTGGTTCACATCCCGGACCCGGTGGCTTAAAAAACTCATGCTGGGCGCGTGTGCATGCGTGCCCAAGATCTCGAGAGGAGAATGGAGGAGAAGGGATTGCGCCGTGACCATCCCCCCTGGGGGGTGATTTCTTGCTTTCTGTCTCTATGTCTCTCTCTGACTGTCTGGCGAGTGCACATACCCTATAGCGAAAACCTCTCCAAAAACAAACAAACAAACAAACAAAAAAAATCCCAAAGCTCATTTCCAACCCTCACTCCAATCCTACCCCTCCAGGATCCTTGGACTTGCAGACTTTTCAAGCTTTTCCCAGGCTCTTTGCCTGGCTAGTTCCATCTCACCCTTAAACATCACCTCCTCTGTGGGTATCCCTTGTCTTATCTCTCAGAAGTCCCCTCGCCAACACTCTATATCAAACGCACTTCTTTAAGTTAATCACTACCCTATCACACCCTGTAATTCTCTTATATCTTATTTGCCTCTCATTTACTTAGTGTTTTCATTTTAATTATTAATTTTAGAAGGCATGTACACTCTTCATAGGGAGAGAGAAAGAGAAAGAAAAAACCGTGGTCACATTGCCACCATTTCTCCTGCATTTCTCCATCCCTTCTGGATTTTGAGCACACACATACACAGCCAACACGTGTTTCAAAACATCGGGGCCGGGATTCAAACCATGTCGTACATGTAGGATCTGGCTCCCAACCCACAGTGCTTAGCCACTGCACCATGGGACTAGTCCTATTCTTTGTTTTTAAATTAAAATTTTCCTTTTGAGACAATTACAGAGTCACATGTAACTGTAAGAGACAATACAGAGAGAGATTCCACGTAAGGTAGCTGTTTTTCTCCAGTGGTAACATTCTGTAAAACGAGTGTACTCACCGTACAATACCATGAGGATATTGACATGGATATAGTGAAAATACAGACCAAGAATCCCTTCTGCTGTCACTTTATACCTGCTTTTCTCCTGACCTTCTCCAATCTCTGACAGCCACTAATCTGTTCTTCCTTTCCATAATTTTGCCACTTTGAGAATTTTTATAAATGGAATATTACAATCTATGTTTGGGATTGGCTTTTTTCACTCAGCATATTTCTCTCCAGTGAAAATCATTCAAGTATGGGTCTGTTTCTGGATTCTTTATTCTGTTCCATTGATCTATGCACCTACTAAGTCTTGAAATTGGGTAGACTGATTCCATGATAGTCTTCATGTTCAAAGTTGTTTTAGTTACTCTAGTTCTTTTGCCTTTCTGTATTAATTTTAGAATACTCTTGTCTATACTTATAAGAAATACTGCTGAGATTTGTATAGAAATTTTCCAAAACCTGTATATGCCTATTCAACAGTTGACATCTTCATTATGTTGAATATTCTTTCTGATCCACAAACATGGTATAGCTCTTCATTTATTTAGATCTTCTTTGATTTCTTACATTGATATTTTAAGGTTTTCAGCATACAAGTCCTGTGAATGTTTTGTTAGATTTATGCCTAAGTATTTCACTCTTTTGAGTATAAATATTATTGAATTTTTAATTTTGTAATCCAAATGCTTATTGACTGTGCTGGGCTAATTTACTAGGCCTAAACAGTTTTTGGTAAATTCCCCCCCCACTTTTTTTTTTTTGCTATAGAGAGCATGTCTTCACCAGAGGCAGAGAGGGAGAAAGTGAGAAAGCACCCCTCCACATCAGGAGAGGTGATCCCTTCTCCTCCACTCTTTTAAGATTTTGGGCATGCACACACACACACACACACACACACACACATGGTGTGATTTTTTTAAGCCTTCTGGGCTGGGACTCAAATCATGAACTTGGCCATGTGGATCCAGCGCCTTAACCTCCACTCCACGTACTGGCCCAAATTCCACCTAGATTTGGGGGGGGGTAGAGATTTTTGCCTTAGGGCATGTTCACTTGCCAGAGAGAAAGAAAGAGACAGAGACACTGAGAGGGAAAGTGAGAAATCACTCCCCAGGGGGGATGATCACACTGCAATCCCCTCTTTCTCCTCCTGGGATCTTGGGCATGCACACACTGTAGCCGGCATGAGTTTCAAGCCACTAGGTCTGGAACTTGAACTGCAGGACAACTTCAAATAGAGTTTATGTCTTCCTTTCTAATTTGTATGACTTTTATTTTCTTTGCATGCTGTATCGCACTAGCTAGCA